AGCACCCACCATCACTCTTAAGTGGTTTTTACACCATACCTACTGAAGGCTCAGGCACTTAAGAGGCACTATGGCAGAAGAGGATTAAGCGATGCGATTTTAGCTTTTATCTATTCTACATGTAAACCTTCTGCAGAAAATTTTTGAAGAAAAGTTTCCTTTACTTAAGAAATAATTTGGCTTGGCGCCTATAGCTCAGCATCTAGGGTGCCAGTCACATACAACGGAGCTGGTGGGTCAAATCTAGCCCAGGCCTGCCAAACAACAATGACAATTACAACCAAAAAATAGCTGGGTGTTGTACCATACAGGCTGTGTGGCGCCTGTAGTCCCAGCTACTTGGGAGGCTGAGGCAAGAGAATCACTTAATCCCAAGAGTTTGAGGTTGCTGTGAGATGTGACGCCACAGCACTCTACTCAGGGCAACATAGTGAGACTCTGTCTCAAAAAAAGAAAAGAAAAAATTTAAAAATTGCTGAATTGAACTAATTGCACATTTATCACACATTCCTTGCTAGGTGCGTAAAGATTAGTACAGATTTGGTTCTCTTCCTCTCCAGTCTACAACCAAGATTATATATTTATTTATTTTTTGTTCTTATTGCAATTTGGTCCAGGGCAGGTTTGAACCCACCACCCTTAGTATATGGGGCTAGCACTCTACCCACTGAGCCACAGGTGCTGCCCCTCTCTTCCTCCTCTAGTCAAAGAGTTTTGTTAGTGCTGTAATAGAGGTGAGGCAGCTAACTTTCTCAGGGCAGTGGTTCTCAACCTTCCTAATGCCGTGACCCTTTAATACAGTTCCTGTGGATCTTGACACACAGATTGAGAACTGCTGCTCTAGGGGGTGTCAGGGAAGACTATTTTTTTTTTTTTTTTGAGACAGAGTCTCATTATGTTTGCCTTGGTAGAATGCTGTGGTGTCATAACTCACAGCAACCTCAAATTCTTGGGCTTAAGCAATTCTCCTGCCTCAGCCTCCCAAGTAGCTGGTACTACAGGTGCCCAGCACAACATC